CAAGCATCATGACCACTTCAGTGATTGGAAGTGGTCATGGTGCTTGGAGTCTCTATGTGCAGTGTTTCACTAAGAAACTCTGCACAAGCGCATCATAAGCCATGACAAAATGAGAGTTCTGGCTGGCTAATGTTACTTCTATGTATATTGGGAGTCTAATCAGAATGCCTAGCATGCTTGTCGACAGACGACTAATGGCAGCATGCACCCCCCAAGTCCTCAGCTCAACCTAGCCTTTGGGACATCCCGCACAGTGATGTCATCAGAGGAATATTGGGCTTCCAGGTAGAACTTGGCCTCATTGTGGGATTACAGGTAAGTTTTGATTGTATTTCTTTTAGTGAGAATAACCCTTTAAACTCTGAGAAATTTTCTCCTAAAAGCGTTAAAGGAACACTCCACACTAGAGCTGAATCCTGGATGTCTTAATGTATTTTATAGAACATACATGCACACAATAAAATATATAAAATAAGTAAGAAAGTCTAATTTGGAGTTTACTGCTTCCTGCAGTGAACCCTTCCCAGACTAGGAAGTAGCAGACAATCCTTTTCTTCCTATTGTTTTCAGTGGCTCTGCTGATCACATGTATGCGAGCATGCAAATGGAACTGCTGCCCAAACTGATGGCTCCAAGCAAGATCCTTCATAGAGGCCTATCAAGAAGTCTGTCGGATGACATGGAGACTTCGATAGAATGCACATGGGAGCACCCACCTGGCACAGCCTTCTTCTGTGACACCGTGGGCAGTAGTTATAGAACCACTCTAATCAACAGAGTGAGAGGTTTCTGTATTATAAATTCATATCTTGATCTGATTGGTTAATTAATCCAAACATAATAAAAATTACTAATATGAAAACAATGGGTCCCTCCCAAAAGCCCAAACAAATGTAACATGTCAAGTGCTAGAAAAATCAGCAATTCATTAATATGAAATGTGTAATTAAAGGTTTATGGATAACGAGCAACAAACGACTAACTCAGCCACAGTAATTTCAGTGTATAAAAATAGGAAGACTTACACAACATCTCCAGCATAGTGACGGATTCGGAAATCTCTGTCGTACTCCAAGGCTTTATCGGTCGGACACACCTGAGAGGGGGAGGATTAGATAGAAGAGATGTGAGCCATTGAGCAGACACTAGGGACTGCAATGAATTTGAAAGGAAGGACACGTTACTAAAAAGGCTTCCAATAGACATGTGTGAAATAAGATTAAGGGATGCTCTGCTTATAAACCACCTTCAATAGGGGAATACCAATAAATAATAAAACAGCAGTGGTACTTCCACCTATTTCATCCTCGGAGAGGCGCTATCAGCTATTTATCAATTTATTATACTGTGTATTTTTATTTAGGAATAAGATGCTTGCTTAGAAAAAAGTAATTCATAGCCTGACTGATTTCATTTTCATCACAAAAACTAAACCAAGCTTGTATAGGTGATGGGTAGGTGAGGGAGGCTGGAGTATATACAATTGGTCATAAATACAAATTTAAAGGACTATTAAAAAGACCATAACCACTAGAGCTCATTGCAGTGATTATGGTACAGTGAGCCTTTGGGTGCTCCCCCACAATTTTATGTCAAATAATTTTCAGATGGTTTGGCAAAAGCAGAGGGTCTTCCTGGTACCCAAAGTCCTGTTCCTGTACAGATATTTGAATAATTAAACATTCCACTTTCCTATTTATCCATTAACAACCATTCAGCTTTGTACAGCAATGATGGGCAGCGGATCTTGGGGTCAGGTCAGTACAGTTTCTCCGTCCCTATCTCTCGGAACACAGTGTCTCACTGTTTGCAAAAAGATAATAAAAATCACTAAGCTTCTCCCTGTCCACACAAGTACTGGTGCACATTATCCCGAGGGGCCGTGCCACAGGAGTTTATTGTCAACTAAACTACAACTCCTAAAAATCCCTGCCATGCAACGCCTCATGGGGCAATCTCAGCACTTTTATAGAAAGCTTTGGGAGAATCTCTATTGGCTCAACCAGGGGATTTACATCGAACACAGGAACAACAAATATTATAGACTTTATAAATTTTTAGCGTAGAGATAGAGATGTAGCAGTAGACTCGAGAAAGGGAAGTTCTCCCTAAAGCTTGTTATTCCAAAGTTCACTTAGTCCAATAAAAAATAAAATGAAAAAAGTATTACAAGATACTAATTTCATCTGTAATAGTACATTTATTATTTAATATTTTTAATTTATTGTTTTGGCACATTTTATATGCATTAAATATATAAACCTTAAGACGAGAATGGGTCACCACCAGTTTGGAGAAGTATAAAAAACAGATTCTATTAAAGGGACAGGTCGTCTTTTATTGTTCTTTGTCGCCATGGTCAGAATAGACAGGAATTTGTTTTAATGAGGTACATTCCTACACAATCTCAGTGTGAATAATTAATGGCTTATCCTATTTATAGACAAATATGAACGCTACACAATGCCAGGTAACCCTATCTGGAATGTGTGAGCATTAGCAGTAAGAGCTATTGAGTGGATAGGGTGGGGGGGAGCGGAACAAAGGGGAAGGGGGTAAAGATCGGTGTGGGAGGAATAAAAAATAAGGTTGTTGTGATTGCCGTACGTGTGCAGGGTGATAATAGCACTTTTCAATATGAAACAAAGACAGTGCTACTGGATCCAGTGAAGGAGTTAAATCAGACAAAATGGCAGGCATATGACATATTTATATGGAAGACAATTACAATACATTCACTTAACACACAGCAACTGTGGGAATCTGAATTACAGTTGTGGAATCACATCACCGAGACACACAAAAGCATATTAAAATCAGTTTGTAGTTCACAAGGTTATACATCTGTCAGCTAGGTATAGAAAGGATTTTTTTTTTTTTTTTTTTAAACTCAATTCATGAATTTGACCCTTGGATGCTTGCAGACCACCAATACTCAGACAGTGTAAATCAGGCGACACCAGTGTTCCATGTCGATTGGCCAGACATTACGTCATTGGACGCTAGACCCTTTCACTGCTCCATAGAATACATGAAGAATTAGCAGTGGATCTGGCTCCCTCTACTGGAATTAATCATGAAATACACATTCCCCTATTAGCTCATGCATGCACCAGAATGACAAATTCACGTTCAGCTTTGGTGTTAATGAGATGGAAAATGCTTAAAGGGAAACTACAGGGAAAAACGAGTTCCTATTCTTTAATGCATTATATATAACAAACACATGCAAAAAAAATACAAAATACAAAAAAAGTAAAATAAATAAATAAATACTTTTATATACCAGTAATATCTAAATAATAACAAAAAATGTATAGGTGCACCGTTTAATATGTCTGCTTGTAGCTAAAGACAGACTTCTCCCTAACCAGGAAAAGACTTTTGATCATGATTGTCTAATTCTGTTGTATGGGGGCTTATTCTTATTCAATATATTTTTGTGCAGTGAAGGTATATGGGATAACTAGTGTATTCCCACACAAGCAGTTTGACCGATCACTTTGTATGAATGGAACTGCTCTATAATTTGATAGCCAAAGAGGAGGGAGAGCGATCTCAGCCAAAGCTGGGCATGTGGCATGCAGACACCATATGCACAACTTGGGCAAAACGGACATCAGATAACGATAAATATTCAAACACAAAAAAAACTGCAATAACCATAATGAAAAAAAACGATTTGCAGCCACCACAACCAACAACACTGGAAGGAGGGGGCTTTAACAAAGAAGCGCTTTATGCGTTTTGGACAGGAAGGTTTTTATAGGTTAATATAGATTCATCAAGCTCTTCTGGTAACATGTCATTTATCTGTGCTAACTGATAGCACAGGAAAAGCTAGCTGAACTAGAAATTGGAAGTTGACCTGGGTTTAGTCTACCTGATGAATCAGTTTGCCTCTGTCTGAAAAAACAATCTGTTGTAGACTGTAAACAATGTATGAATCACTTTGTTATTATCATTATATTTTAGTTAAGTAGCGTGTGAATAGAAAAAGTGCGAGAGTGAATACATAACAATAAACCTATGTATCAGGAGAAAATAATGGAGAGATGAAAACATCATAACAATCAGAAGTCTTGAACTGCTTCATCTCATTGTTTAATGCCAAACAAGTGTCCCCAGCAAACCAAACCTCTCTGCTTCTTGGGGTAATGAGGAAGCATTGACCTGAGCAGCAATGGACAGCTGTGATTGGTTGAGAGTGTCAGATGGCCTGTTTCAGCCTATCACAGTGCCCAATGCTGGTTTGAATCAGTATAGCTAGGAGGAAGTGTGTAATCTCTGCCTTAGCCACACCTCCTGTGGGGGCTGGACTACGGGTAGCCAGAGGTCCTCATCCAGTGTCAAAGTGCTCAAAAATGGTTTAACACTGAATGGAGGGACAATGCCTGGGGACTCCAGATAATATTGCCAATTCAATTAGATAAAATGGTTATAGTGTTTAAAGTGCCCTGAGATTATTATTTTCTCTTAATTCACTCTTCATCACTAGTTTTATTTTATCTATTTTATTTATTTATTAATTTGAAAACTATACACAGTAATTAAGCAGTAATAGCACTATATAAATCTGGGTGTGAGTTTCACAACACTATAATTATTATACGTTTATAGCAGTAATTAAATGATAACCTCCCTTATCGGATGTGTGTGTTAAATGATCAGTGGAATGAATTTGTAACTCACCAACACAGTCTGTTACATTGTATAATAAATAAATGTAACTTTGGGCAGTCATTTAGGACCTGACCAGAGCGTTATAAAGCACATATATCTTGTTTTTGTTTTCTATTGGATTTATGCTACTTGTAGTGTATTAGGTGTTTCATACATTAAACAAAATTAATTGCAAAATTTAGGCAAAAATATGCGAGCTGCGACTAGAACTGTATTCGACAATTTTTACCAATCACCTATTGTTGCCTAATAGTGATGTCCCGAACGGTTCGCCGCGGACTCATCATTGAGTAAACTTTGACCCTGTACCTCACAGTCAGCAGACACATTCCAGCCAATCAGCAGCAGACCCTCCCTCCCAGACCCTCCCACCTCCTGGACAGCATCCAGTTTACATTCATTGTGAAGCTGCATTCTTAGTGAGCTGTCCAGGAGGTGGGAGGGTCTGGGAGGGAGGGTCGGCTGCTGATTGGCTGGAAGGTGTCTGCTGACTGTGAGGTACAGGGTCAAAGTTTACTCAATGATGAGTCCGCGGCGAAACGTTCGCGGCGAACCATTCGGGACATCATTATTGCCTAACTGTCGCCATCATCATTTTCTTTTTTTCCCTTTTTTAAACACATTCTATTTTTGTTATATAGAGTTTAACATACAGACGTGTAAAGACATTTTATCAAGGTTATAGAAAGCAGTAAAAGTGGCGTAATGACATAAAATGAAAAAAAAGAACACTTTTTGTAATATAAAGTAGAGTAAAGAAGTGTGTGACAAGTAAGCAACAACATAATAAAACTTGCGAAAATACAAGCTGAGCTAACTGACATCACAATGCATAAGAGACGATGGGAGTAACACCAGTTAATTTATGTGCTGGGCTGAAGATGTCTGCCTTGTTAGGTACATGAAGTGAGAGCTCAAAGAGCACATACAACAACAACAATATGCATGAGCTGTAAGAGCTGCTGTAGGTGGTCAGACAGGTGATGATGTGAAATATTGCCAAGCACCCAGCATGTTGATCAGCCGATGCCATTCATGTGCAGGAGATGGTCCCCCAAAATTATGCTGGTCCTCGGGTATAGCACCAGAAATGCAGGTAAGCAGCTCAGTGAATGCAGTCGGTTCCCAAAACACCACTCTTCCAGCTTTAATGGCTCCCCACTCGCTCCATAACTGATCTGCTTCATCTTGCTCGTTCCCCTCCTCAAGGTCTGCCGATGCGGCCCTCACCATCTCCAGCGCATTGGTAGACTTCCAGAATCTGCTGGTTCGCTGCCGTGATGTTGAGATGGACTGGGTGGTGTGTGAATAGTTTATGGTACTGGTGCGTTAGACTTTGCACATTGTTTCTGCCAGAAGGCAGCAAAGATATAGTCTAGGCGACTTCGGAGAGATGGTGTTACTCTATAGCAATCTGGAGCAGTCACAACGTTCACCATTTTAATTGCGCCTGTGACTAGCACTGTGTATGCATCTCACTTTCAGCGTGTGCCCACAGAATGTTTCTGATTGCGGAGTTTGTGGGACTAGGATATCCCCCACCAGTCCAGAGAGGTGGAAACAAGGCTAGTGCAGCCGTGTCTTCGAAGAGCAGGGAATCGGCCGCGTGCTCTGCCTAGCTTGAAGGAGCAGGCCTCAAGCTGTGCCAGCAGCAATCACCTGCAGCTTGTATGGAGAGCTGCTATGGGGTCAAGAGGGAGATGGCCCCATGTCATAGAATTGCTAAAGGTCTCGGTGGAAGATGCTTAACTGTGTTTTTAGGTGACTTTCATGCGGTTTCGTTGAGGAGCTCACTATTTGGTTTTCAATTCACTACCATTCTGTGTTTCATAAATAAACCCCTACGTGTTTAGAGATTTCCCCAATCCTGTACTATTTTAAACTTATTACATAGATAAAGTACAGACATTGGGACCTGGTAGTTTTCACTCACTGTCTTTCAGTATTAATAAGCCATATGAATCCGGTAAATCATAGTAGATCTGAGAACTCTATTTATAACAGCATCAGTACAGGATAGGGCATGAATTATATTCATAACGGGGGACCAATATGTCTTAAATGAACACTTCATGCACTATAACCACTACAGCCCGCTGTAAGGATAGACAGATATAAACAAATGTATTACACACTGCAACCAGCCACTTACACAAGTTATTTGCATACATACTAACCAAGCCTAGATGTTCCATACAAGCACACGCAGAGCCCTTTAATAGCTTACCTTCCTACTGGAGTAATGAGCATGTTTCCCAAGCTGTTTGTTTAGAGCATCCAAAAACATGGCATCCGTCACTTTACCCACATTCATGCAGGCATCGTCCAATAAGGAGATAATCCCCCGGTGCTGCTGTTCCACTAGATCCACGATGATCTGGTTGTTGAAATAGTCTATCTGCAAAAAACAGCACGGACACAGTGATCAACATGCAGTCTCAACGAGACACCTTAGACCGGGTGACTAGGGATTATGTTACTAGGGAAGATGTTATATGCAGCACCGATGTGTATACATTATTGGCTGCTTCGTTACACAGTGCACACCACCTTCTAATAAGTTTACTCAAAAAAAAAAAAAATCAAAAAAAAAATCAAGGTTTCGGCAAACGATACATATATGTTTTTGTTAACAGAAATTCCCTTTTTTATTTTTATACCTACCGATAGATTTTATGTGTTTTACATGACCAGCCCATGTTAGCTACTTGTGTTTATTATACACTTACTTAAAAAAATTAAAGAAAACTATTTGCAGCTGAAAGCAGTAAGGTATATTGTTATGGTAGAGATTTTCCTTGACACAACAGATCAGCTTACATTTTAAGGGCCATGTGCATAGAGATTTGGGATAGTCAGTATGACGGAGCCCCTGTACTCCCATCATAGTGAGCAAGTAACTGTTTATTTTCTTCTTACACTCTGGCTGATGAATAGTTGTCACCCCTGATCAATGGAAGTGCAATGTAGGGCTTTATTTCTGTGTGGTTTTACGCAGTATACATGGGTGATATTTTAAATGTTGGCATACATCGGTTATTTAATGTTATTTTTTTGGAATATGCATTCTGCACATTATGCACTTTTTCAAAACACCTCTAAACAAATCCTTTTATTTCATTGGTCTTTTATTGATTAAAATATGGACTACAGATAATCAATAACAGAAGACTGCAGGTCATTGCAGGTTCTAGTGCTGATAGGAAGGCCCAGCAAGTATTGCATCAATACTCACATGTTTCCACGGGATGCCTTCTCTCTGGTATTCCTCCTGTTCCTGAGTCAGAACTAGCTGGATGAACAACTGCTGTAATTTCTCGTTACAATAATTTATGCAGAATTGCTCAAAGCTGAAAAACACAGAAGTTGTTCCAAGTGAAACTTATTAGTCACTTAAACATGTGCTCTCCACACCAGTTCTTATGCAATACCAACACTTTAGAGTTCAAAAGTTCCTAATTCTGTTCAAAACAAGTCGCATACTGATAAATGCTAGACCAGGCATAGGCATCCTTCAGTACTCCAGATTTTGTAGACTATATTTCCCATAATGCAACCATAATGCCGGGAGGTCATCAGGAATGATGTAGTCCACAACATATGGAGTGCCGAAGAATTCCTATCCCCGTTCTAGACCATCATGGGTGCATGATGATTGAACTGGGACCACCAAGTCAAATTATAAGGAGAAGGGTTTAGAATATAGAAAAAGATAGCAATGTTACTTTACAGAACACAGACTACTGATTGATGTCTAATAGTCAAAGATTATGATTTCACATGTCAAGGAAGACAAGGACAATTATTTCATGTTTTAGCCCCATATGTTAAAATGTACAAAGAGATTCAGCGGATCATGGATCTAAAACCGTAAACACTAAGTATTTCTCAGGCTGGATGGTGGGCTTACAAAATTTCAGCGAGTCAGTAAGAGGATAGATTATATAAAAGGGGCCTTAAAATATAAATACTGTAATTTACAATAAAATGGTTCAGACGGTTAAGAAACCACACAGGTAAAACACCAATATTTTTTATTTTTGCTGGAAAACTCCAGTCTGATCATCCAAGCCACACTGTGGGAACAGGCAATTCTTCCAATGGTAATTTTTCATATACTGATGGGTTCCAGAGAAAATTTACGAAAATCCCACAGGATTACTTAGATCGGATTTGCTCAAACCTCTTCAAATCCCTTCTCTGTTCTCCAAAACAAAACATTTAAACGCCTCTTCTGATGAATGTAATTACAAACATAGATTACATCCTTTGCAAGAATTCTCAGTTTTCTTCATTCTATAAAAGTTTGTTGACAAGACTGGGTGCAATTTTTCTTAGTTATTCTGTACAACCTACTGAAAACGTTTATATACAGCATTTATAATTATTATTTGAAAACAAATATAAAGCATTTGTATACACCTTTTAATGGGATGATTGGTACCATATAATTGGACATAAAAGAACTATAACTGATGCAGTTTATTGTAGTGATCATGGTGCTTTCAGTTTTAGAAGCTAACCCCTTCCTCCCACTCAGTTTTCAAACTTTTTCATAGCATTTTCATTTTCAAATGTTCCTTTCCCTGGAATCTAAACCCCATGCCTCTGCAGAAACTCTGATAACGCACTAGTTTCATTTTGCGTTATCTGTCTAACCTTGGATGATGATAGGTTATGAATGACGGCTGTGAGTAATGGGCTAATTCACTACCAGTGCTTGTAGCTCATCATTACTGTGCAAAGGTGGATGGACTTAGACAGATAACATCTAATTGAGTCTTCCTCTATAAGTTCACAGAGGAGCCGGGACTTTAATTCCTGGGAGAGCATCCAATTTTGCCAAACTAAACTGTACGAATTATGACATTTAGAGTGCCCTTTTAAAGTTATACATGATTTATGATTCATGAACAAAGTTGAACTATGGGTGATATGAATGATATCCTATTAAAAAAAATGTAAGCATTAAAATATAATCTAAAAGGCCAAAAGGGGGCAGTAGAGTCTATGATAATTGTCCTACCTATTGTTATCAAAAATCTCAAAGCCATATATATCCAGCACCCCGATTACAGTGTTCTTTCCATGCAGGGACGCATCCTGCTGCCGTACATCAATCACATCATTTATGCGAGTCACTATCCAGCAGAAGAGACGCTCATAGATGGCCTAATAAGAAAAGACAATAAGTTTGTTGTGTTTTTTTGTTTTTTAAACTTGAAATGTAATCTTTGACTTTTTTTTTTTTTTTTTTTTTAAACAGCATGATCGGGGTCAAACAACACTGGTGGGTATATAGTTACCAAAGTCCTGACTTTATAAGAACTGTCCCTATAGCAGAATATATGTACTATGCATTTCTATTGAGCATTAGCAGCAGAAAGCCCCAGATTAACCTCGGACTCTTTAAATCCTCCTCACTAACCCAGCAAATGCTCTGCACTGTACTGTAGGGTGGTGGGAGTTGTAGATGAAAACTTCCGCCAG